GTCAAAACTGAGCAAAATGTCCCATTTGAATAATAAAAACCTCATTAAAGTGAGGCAAAAGGAATTCTTTTCCTTTTGTACAAGCCAATTAAGTGCCTTTACAATTAAGAAAAAAAGTCTAGCACTTTATAGTTTCATATTCCATAAGCCTGTTTTTAATTAATGGAGGTGACAAGTTTTAGGTACAGGGTACATATATCGCCTTTGGTGTTGTGCAATTAACAGTAATGAAGAGTATTAAAATTTGGTGAAAGAGGAGAGGATTTCCCATGTCCTCTGTGGATTTATGCCTCTAGGCGCAGGTCTTTGGCAGCAAGTTTCTTGATGTGTTTTGCATTTCTTTGAGAACATATGCAGACGAGGGTAAGGTACCTAGAGGAGGCCATGTTATCAAGAGGTGTGGTGTCCAAATTCCAAATGCCCAGGCCTGTCTTAAAGACACGGAAACACTGCAAAAATCACCTTTGAAGAAATCTATTTTCTCCTGTGGATAGAAGGGAAGGGTTGTTGAGACAAGGGATGTAATGATGATTTAACCTGGCACGTACCTTACAAAATACTGGGGTTTTGCTCATCAGAACCTTGGGAGGGGTGTACGCTGCTGCTCTAAGTTTAAAGGGAGAGGAAATAGGTTTACAGAGGATAATTAATTAACTGGCCACAAGTCAGGTAAGTATAATACCATGGTGGAGCTAGAATTTCCTTCAGCGCTTGGCTCTGTCCATTTGAGGGAGCTCATCTAAGAAGGTATTGTGTAGTAGCTCTGAAGTCCCACGATCTTTTTATTTTATTTTGTTTTGTTTTGTTCTTATTCATTTATTTGCTTCTTGACTTATTCTAGTTACTTGTGACTCTTATTTTGACCATAGGATATTTGTTTCTAATCCCTTGTCTTCCTGTTTGTAAAAAGGTGGTGATAATTCATGCCATCTAAGGTTCTTATGTACACTAATGATTAATAAGTGCCTAACCCACACTTAGCACTCAAAGAGAAAAAAGAAAAGAAAAAGTATAAACAACTCTGAAACAAAGTGAACTGAATATTTGAGAGGAAAATTGAAAGGTGTTCACACAAGTCATATATTAACTTGACTCATTTTCCCTTTTCTCTCTCAAAGTTTTTTCCAACAGTCTTGCCTTGCTACAACATATGGATTCTTCTGGTTACGAATGAGTATTTTCTGTTTTGATATGAAATAGGCTCTGATGAATGTTGTCGGTAGATGAGATGCCTCAAAGCATTTTTTTGTCCACCTCTTAAGAGACTAATGGACTTCTGGGGGGTGTACATTGACAACTGTGGTGGGTACCATATGTGGAAAACAGGTGATCCCAACGAAAAACAGCTGACCCCAGCCACATCACCAGTTTTAGGTCTTAGGTAGGTGATGTGGGTTGGAAATATATCAGGCAACAGAATGTATAGAACAGTTTCTCAACCAGATGTAGATTGCCTAGTGGCAGTGAGATTTACATTAATACTTTTTTTTTAAGTTTATTTATTTTGAGAGAGTGTGTGTTTGTGTATGTGAATGAGGATGGGGCAGGGAGAGAGAGAAAGAGAGAGAATCCCAAGCAGGCTCCACACTGTCAGTGTGGAGCCCAACATGGGGCTCCGACTCATGAACCAAACCATGAGATCATGACCTGAGCCGAAACCAAGAGCTGGATCCTCAACTAGCTGAGTCACCCAGGTGCCTCTACATAAATACGTTTTAAAAAACAGTGAATTAATTCTTTTTTTCCTCTAGTGATAAATTAATTCATGCTTTCTTTCAAGCATTTATTATCAATTCTTAATGAAATTATTTCCATTGAGGTCATTAACAATATCATTAATATTATGAATAATTAATGAACTAATATCAATTCTTTGCAAACTCTTCCAAAAAATAGAATAGGAAGGAAAGGTACTCAACTCATTGGATAAGGCTATTATTACTCTGATCTGAAAACCAGATAAAGATATCACCAGAAGATTATAGACCAGTATCACTTAGGCATATAGATGTAAAAATCTTCAACAAAATATTAGCAAACCAAATGAAGCAATATATAAGAAGGATTATATACCATGATGAGGTGTGATTTATCCAAGGAGTTCTAGGTTTGTTTAACATATGAAAGGCCTTGTAATATACCATATCAGTAAAATAAAGGATATGTCAATAGACACAGGAGGAGCATTTGGAAAATTCCAACACCCTTTCAGGATCAAAACACTCAACAGATTTGGATTACAAGGGCATTTCCTCAACCTGATAAAGGGCATCTACAAAAAAAAAAAAAAAAAAATCCACACCTAACCTTCTACTTAATGCTATAAGGTTGAATACTTTAAGATCAGAAAACAAAATAGGGATATCAAATTTTACCACTTACATTCAGTATTGTGCTGGAAATTCAGCCAAAGTAATTGGGGTGGGGGGAGACATTCTGATTGGAAAGTAAAAAGTAAAGCTATCTGTATTTGTAGGTGAAACGACCTTATGTGTAGAAAATACTAAGAAAACCACTTTAAAAAAGGTATTAAGACTAACAGATAATTAAAAAAAAACAAAAAACAGATAATTTCAGCAAGGTCAGAGGATAAAAAATCAATTGTATTTCTATACACTAGTAACTAACAATTCCCAAATCAAATTAAGAAATCAATACTATAACATCAGAAAGAATAAAATACTTATGAATACATTTAACAAAAGATGTGATAAATTTCTATTTTAAGAGCTATGAAATATTGTAGAAGGAAATTAAAGAAGACCTAAATGCATGTAAAGACATCCCATGTTCATGGATCAAGAGATTTAATATTGTAAAGTGGACAATAGTCTCAAAATTGATCTGTAATTTTAATGTAAACCTTACTAAAATCGCAGTTGGCTGTTTTGGTAGAAATTGAAAGCCAATTTTAAACTTTATATGTACACACTAAGGCTCCAGACTAGCCAACCCAAGCTTGAAAAAGAACAAAGTTGAAGGACTCTCATTTCCCAGTTTAAAAATAATTACTACAGATGGGCACCTGGATGGCTCAGTTGGTTAAGCATCTGACTCTTGATTTTGGCTCAGGTCATGACTTCATGGTGTTGAGATCTAGAAATCTAGCCCTGAGGTGGCTGTGGCTCCAAGCTGACCGATGAGCCTGCTTAATAATCTATTTCTCCCTCCCCAGCTTCCCATGACCCCTGTAGCTTGTGCTCGATAGTGCACACTATTTCTCTCTCTCTCTCTCTCTCAAAAAAAAATTATATAAATTTATATATATATGTATTTTTTAAAAAATACTACAAAGCATTAGTAATAAAGACTGTAGTACTAACAGAATAATAGAATATAATAACATAATAATAGAATAATAGAATATAACAGAGAGTCCCAAAAGAAACTCTTAGGGGTGGTCAATTGATTTTCATCAAGGATGCCAAGACACTTCACGGCAGGAAAGAATAGTCGTTTTAGCAAACAAAGCTACAGTTGGAATACCCACTTGCCAAAAAATGAAATGAAATTGCTTGGATTCTCCATACATCCATGTTAGCTTACAATGGATCATAGATCTAATGTAGGAGCTAAAACTAGAACTCTCAGGAGAAAAGATGGAACTGTAGCTTTGTGACATTGGGTTAGGCAATGATTTCTTACATATGGTCCCTAAAGCAGAAGAGGCAAAGAAAAAATATCTATAACTCATATATCATCAAAATAAGAACTCAGAAGGAAGATGACTTAAGACATTTTGGGTTCCACCCACCCCTAGAGATAATTACTTTTCACATTTTTGCGTATGCTTCATAAATATTGTGTGTGTGTTTGTGTGGTCACACAATATTATATCCATTGTTATGTAGTGTGCGTATTTTACAGGATCAAAAGATCTATCATTTTAATGGCTGTGTAGTATTCTATCATATGCATACATACAAATTCATTTCATGATTTCCCAATGTTATATGTCATTTATTTCTGATGTTTTGTTTTTATGTTGTAATTGCAAACACTGTGGATAGCTTTGAATATATGCCTTTTTAACAATTCTTATTCTTACCTTAGGATGACTTCCCATAAACACCACTTCTCTGTGAGGATTTAGGACTTTGATTCACATGATGAGAGGCTTACTTTTATTTTTTTTTAAATTTTATTATGAAACAAGTTAATATATATACACAGTGGGAGAAAATATTATAGTAGACCTCCACTTACCCTTCCCTGGCTCACTCATTTCTATCGTCTGGATATAATTGGACCTCTGAAAGGAATATATTCAAACAATGTATGCCTGTCTTTCTCTCTTTCTTTTTTTAATCCTTATTTTGAGAGGGAGTGGGGAGAGAGAGAGCAAGAGAGCGAGCGAGAGAGAGAGAGAATGAGTAGCGGAGGGGCAGAGAGAGAAAGGAAAACAGAAGATCCAAAGCAGGCTTTGTAATGTGGGGCTTGAACTCACAAACTGTACCATGAGATCATGACCTGAGCCAAAGTTGGATACTTAAACGATGGAGCCACCCCGGAACCCCTTTGTGCCTGTCTTTTTCATCAAAGCACTTCCCCTTGGTATTCCACTTGGTATACTTACTTAGAACCTATAAATGCTGGTTCCTCTGTTGGTCTTTATATAGCATATTTTCTCTTTAATTTCTTACATCTACTTTAAGGGCTATTTTGATGTTATAGGCGAAGCAGTTAAGAATTGGTTAAACTAAGATGCGCAGATAAAATTAGACTTTGGACTCTGGGATCCATCCTGGGTGACCAGTTTGCCTGGATGGTCCTGGTTTCAGCACTGCAAGTCCTATATCCCGGGAAACCTCTGAGGCCCCAGGGCCCTTTCCCAGTCTCAGCCCTTCACCCACAGAACGGCGTAGGATGTGACATTGCAGGAGATCCCATCTCCGGTTGATCTTGAAAACAGAGAAGATTGGCTGCTCCCATCAGGGCATGGGTTATCCTTGGTCTTAGAGTGTTCCTGTCTGCACAACAGTGGCTGTTTTATTTTGCAGATCCCTTCACGTGCTTGTGTGCAACGCGGGGGTATTTGCTCTCCCCTGGAGCCTCACCAAGGATGGCCTGGAGACCACCTTCCAGGTGAATCACCTGGGACACTTCTACCTTGTCCAGCTCCTTCAGGACGTCTTGTGCCGCTCAGCTCCTGCCCGAGTCGTTGTGGTCTCCTCGGAGTCCCATCGGTGGGTTAGAATCTGATTTTGTTTTGTTTTTTGGTTTTTTTTAGAGGTTTGTTTATTTGTTTACTATTTATTTTTGAGAGAGAGAGCGCACAACAGTGGGGGAGGAGCAGAGAGAGAGAAGGGGACAGAGGATCTGAAGCAGGCTCCATGCTAACAGAGATAAGCCCGACACGGGGCTCAAACTCAGCAACTGAGAGATCATGACCTGAGCCAAAGTCGGAACCTCAACCGACCAAGCCACTCAGGCGCCCTAGAATCTGACGTTTTGTTCCCAGGGCCTCTTCCTTGTGCTGGCCAGTATCCCCTGCCAAGGCTCTTTTCCTGAAAGTAATTTTCAGTAACGCCACTCTGGAAAGTGTGGGTGTATTCAGCCTGGCTTCCTTCATTGTTCGAGGTCTTTCTGTTTTGGAGATCGTGGGGGGGGGGGGGCGGACTTAGGGGTTTTGTCTCCAGCAACGTAGCTGCTTTTCACAACTCTACTTCAAGCCCCTCATTGATTTTGCTTTGAGATGGGATAATAATTGATTAAATCTGAATGCCTGACCTTTATTGATTTGTCATTCAACAACTTCAACACCTCACCAGGAAGAATGTGCAGTTATTCTAGCAGGAGAAACAATGCAATTAAAGACTGCGAGATGAAATCCAATTGTTTTATAATGAGAAATTAGGGAATTCAATGCAGACATTAGCTGTGTAATTGTAGAAAGGGAAGTACTGTAGTTAGAACATATTAGAAATCTGGCCATGCCTCTTTTGGTTAAAATTTCAATTAAAACATCAGATGGCACTTCTCTTCTGTTACCATTAGAAGAATATCCAATTGACTAAAAAGGCATTTGAAAATTTCCTCCTATTTTCAGCATATTTGTTTCTAGAGTTGGATGAACAACTATTTGTCTAAAGAGAAGTGGTCCGAGAAGACAAAGGAATTGCCGTGCGAGGCTAGGTTTAATGTGTGGTGGGGAGATTTTCCTGGGATGGTCAGGAGCTTTCGCTCTTAGCAAAGTAGCTGGAAAAAAAATAGTGTGCAGGGGCCTATTTTTCCCCCTTCTTCTCCGTCTTAAGTCCTGAAATGTTTTAGTGACCCAGAATGAAGCTTATTTTTTTAATCATGCTTCCATAAAATGTAACCCCTGGGAAGAGAGAGACCAGCCAAGGGTTAGCCTGAACCCTTTATCACTCTCAAACACAGGGGCTTATGGTAGAAGTGACACACTGCAGATAGATTTACTTTTACCATTTTACATTTATGAGGGCTGGAATGAAAGGAAAATGCCCGTAATAATCCTCCCCCGTGTTAAAAGACATGAAACATCTAGTAATTAGGTGGTAACAAAATCTGGACATCCTTATCTTTGCAAATCACACCAGGTTCTCGGAAAAAAAAAGAAAAGAAAAGAAAAGAAAAAAAAGTGGCGTGGCCCTGCCTGGGAGTGGGGGCCGGCGCGGGAGACGAGCTCCAGAAATAAATCTGCCAGTCCCAATCGTTTGCCAGATGTGTAGGGCACCACGGGATATGTTTAAATGAGCTGGTATTTAATGGGAGATTATGTTGAATTGTAGCTGCTTGCTTCGCTTTGTAAATCTGTATCTCAAATGGTATTTCATGTGACGTCTTTGTTCTCTCCTTGACTGCAGTGTAATTTGAGCCTACCTTGGAGATCTGAATCTTAATTTCATTTAACAGAAGGAAGGGCCTTGGTCTCCTGAATTAGACCCATTTTAGTTTAGAGAGGAGGACTTCCTGAAATTCGTTATCAAGCCCGCTCCTGTCTGGTGATTGGCACTGGATTTCTGCTTTCTGGTCAATCCTTGGCACACCTGAAGGGGTATATATATATATTTTTTTATATAACAAAAGGCCGATTCCCCCAAGCTGGTTTGTTTATTACACTTGCATGGCATCCCCCGTGGCACCCTAGAGGTAGTGTGAATACAGGGTGCATGGTCCTGGGGAAGCACTCACTCACTGCTCAAGGACCCAGAGCCTTAAACCATGTTGTAAAATGGAAGTTTGATATCTAATTACCTCCATAAACCTTGGCGGAATCTCTTCGTTGGAGTCAAGACCCCCTGTTAGGGGAAAAATAAAGTCCTATGTTTGCAGAAAATATTATACAAGACTGCCCCCAGGCAAAATATTTATTAGCCTCCCTGTGTCTTCCCTGTATTTTAGTTACTTATCTGGAGTCTGAGCAAGCGAATGGAGTTTCTGCATACCTAAAATCCATCATATTAAAATGAGAACTCAACTTCCTTGCTGTGAAAAATTTTCAGATAACAATTAAAATAGAATGAAAAGAGGAGAGCTGGCTGAACAACTGAATGGCCACAGCTGTGCTGGGGGCCAAGTTGCTGTGTGCACGTATGCGCGCGCGTGCGCGCGCACACACACACACACACACACAGCTTCGGAGGCAAATTCTGTCATACTCTGTGAACATACTAGCTTTTGTCTCCATAGAACCCAGCCTAATTATTTTTGGTAATTTAAAAGTCCTCAGTTAAAAAAAAAATAAGGGAGCAGTATGTATAGAAATATAAGGCAGAGGTCCCCTCAAACAGCAAATGTTAATGTCCAGAGAGCAAATGCTCACATTTTATTGCATTGGGAGGAGGATAATTCTATTAAGACATTATTGTGTGGCTTTGTTAATTCTTCACGTTGAAAGTAGAGCAGGCAGCCTTCGAGGGGTTGTTTTACTGCCTCTCGAATGGAGAGGTGAACACGGTCGTTTTTCAGGAAGGCGGCCCCAGCTCAGAGGAGTCCCGAAAACTTGCCCACCCTTCCTGCCTTTCGGAGGACTGTCAATACAAGCTAATCGGACCTGAAAAATGGGTTTGCTGCCCAGGAGATCAGCAGGGCAGAACATAAGGGATCCACTCATGGAGGGGGGCTGCTTGCAAAGGGTAGGCCTGCTGTTTACTAGCTGTGCTTCTCCAACCTGAGATGTTCCTTCAACTTGGTTCGTTTCATTTCCCATCATGGTGGGGTTTTTGTGTGCGTGTGTTTTTGTTTTTGTTTGTTTGTTTTTGCCTTGTTTCTAGATTCAGGACTAGGAATGAATGCCTTTCCCCCTCTTGGGAGTTTAACCGACCCAGTGCTCCCCACATGAACTACTTCTGTGTTGTCCTTAAAAACCAAAGCAGGGAATTCATTCTAAACTTCAGAAGTGCCACATGCAAATACTGATGAGGAACACAGAGAACCCGAAGGCAGTACTAAAGTTTACCTTTGGAGCAAGGCTCAAGGGAAGTGTGGCTCTTAGTTTGGCCTTCCGAACCCAGGATCAAACTTTAATTCTCTCATCCTGTATTTATTCCTTGCTATGTGTCAGGCACTGTGGTAGGCAATAGGCTTACTGTCTGTCTTCCAAAAATTCATGTCAGCAGAACTACAAGAAAGATAAGTAATCAGATGTGCGTGTCCATGCTTAGGTCACCTCCGCTGGGCTACTCGCAAATGCAGACCATTAACAGGTGTGTGGCGCCACGGACTGAAATACCCCTAGCACGGAATCAAGCCTCACCTCCCCCCAAAACCCATGAAATCTGAAAGTGCATTCATTCCTCATATACATGCTTGTTAGACTAAACTCTTGGGAATGCAGTGGTTGTCAAAACTGTGCATATGTGTAAAACACAGCCAGGCTCTAGGCTCAGATAATTATACACAGGGTCTGGTGGGGCAGTCTTCATTGAACAAGACTCCATCTGCATTGCAGGACTTCTTCCATCCCCAGCCCCTGCCGGCGATCATTATAACAACCAGTAGAAGGCCCCCATAAATTTTCAAATTTCCCGCTAAGTTCCAGTGCTTTGGATGATTAAGCTCAGAAGTCTGGGCCCTTCCTGTGGTTTGGGGACTTGGAAGCAGGCAGACAAAAATTAGTTTCTACGTCTTGTTGCTGTATCCACGATAGCACTTCTGGCCATCGGCTTTGTTGATGACTTTAGAGCAATGATGTCATTTAACACTAGAAGTTGGATGTCACCGACTGAGTCCTGAAGAAGGGATATTTAATTTCCCTTAAAATATGAATTTCACCTGTCCCTGTGTTGCTTTTACCTTGGTTGTAGATTAACCTGAATTGTCCCTATTCAGGAATGACCAGATTATTCCATGATTTTCATTTTACCTTTTGCTTTTGTTTCTATAGCAGTTTCCCAGAGTACCCTCTTCTGTTTCCTTATTACTTGGTGCAAATGCCCAGAGTTAATGTAGTGAAGGAAACCATGAGGAGTCTTTAGCAAGGATGAGATCAACATCTAGAAAATTCCTTTTGTTGTGAGCTGTTTTTTCTTTTAGGGCGATCACTACTTTGTTGTTACTTGAAAGAAAGAGAGAGACAGAGAAAGAGAGAGAGAGAGAGAGAGACAGAAAGAAAGAAAGAGAGAAAGAAAGAAAGAAAAAGAAAGAAGAAAAAAAGAAGAGAAGGAAGAAAAGAAACAAACAGCTGGTGTTTAATGACTCCATCAGACCCAATTATAAAACATCAACTACTTACTTTGATTTGTGTGTTTCTATGCCATGGGTATACTTAAAAACAGTAGACTCTGCCAGAACTCATTCTGGCTTTGTTTACATTTATCTTTTAAACGTATAAGACTATTGATGGCACCTCACCAAGGTTATAACCCCTTTATAATCATTAATTTTTAATCTGGAAAAGAGTCTTGGGGGCAGCAAGACTCATCTATATTTACTTGGAGGCTCAAATGAAAATATACAGGACTCAAGCGTTGGCTAAAATAACCGAGGAAAGCCCCGTCAAAGGTTAGGAATGTGATATCTTTCTGCTTCCAAAAGCTGCAGCCCTTTATTTAAGATGCTTTTCTGTTTAATTTAATTATCCTTGAACTTCCTGTTGAAGGTTTTGAAAAATACATGTTGGAAGCCGGAGGGGGGGTTGGCGGTTGAGCATGTTAAGATTGCCTGTTTCCGTGTTTGGGCCCTTATGTAGTCCGTCTTTGGATGCTACTGTTTTATCATGTCACATCACTATCGTCCATTTCTAAGGGAGACTTTGTTTCCATGTTTGCACACTTGGGTTTTCAGTTGCCTCAATGGTGGTCTCCTCAGATTTCTAATACGAATAAAATGGTACGATCAGACATCAGAGATTGACTGCTTCATGTCTTACTTCCTATGTTTTTTGTTTGTTTGTTTAGATTCACAGATATTAACGATTCCTCAGGCAAACTGGACTTCAGCCGCCTTTCTCCATCTAAAAATGACTACTGGGCCATGCTGGCCTACAACCGGTCTAAGCTCTGCAACATTCTCTTCTCCAATGAGCTCCACCGCCGCCTGTCCCCACGTGGGGTGACGTCGAATGCTGTGCACCCTGGAAACATGTTTTATTCCTCACTTCATCGCAACTGGTGGGTGTACACGCTGCTGTTTACCTTGGGCAGGCCTTTCACCAAGTCCATGGTAAGTGAATGGCTTCTGTCGCCGCCCAGACACCTTTAGTGTGCTCTTAATGGACACGCGCGCGTTTCCTTTGGCTTCTCTCCTCCCGTGGTGATGAGTCTGGTCTCGACAGCCACATCCTCAGGCCCGTTACAGCCTTCGCTAAGGGCTCTCGAATGTATTTCAGTTGACTTAGCTTATATCTGTTGCTCTAAAGGCGTCTTGGAGGGCTGGATAGGTAGAAAATGTGGTTCTTCCAGTATCGCGTTAAGGATGGCTTGAAGTCTTGGTGGAGATGAGTAGCTTTGTTTGGAGCGTTTTTATTTTTTTATTGCTGTTATTCACTGAAATCAGCGTTCCGTGTTAGGAGTTGAAAACCATGGATTTGTGACTATGGAATTATCAGCCGAAACGATTCCTTTGTTTCGGTTGAGAATCTGTATTTGATGTTCTAAATTCTTCTTTTAATGGATGTGAACCTCGCCTGGAGAACCTATTGTTGGTCCAAAGTGCATTTGATTCTTTACTTCCCCAAAGGTGAGTCCTTTTGGATCAATCACACTTCTGTGGTTAGATTTGGAAGTATTCACAAAGGTGAATAGGACGTTTTTACATTGCCGATGGTCATATAACAGCTATATCTAGAAACTTCTTCCATGAGAACATTTCAGTGGGAAGTCTTTGAAATGAGCAGTACACATTTTATACAATATATTTGGTATGGTATATTTTTCTAAACCATAGGCCTTTAAAAACTCTTGAAATTAGTGCATACAAATATACTATCCCAGTTAACTAACTTAACATCGAATCCTAAGAAAGGCCCGAACAAATTTTGGCTTTTGAGAGTATCACAAGGTGAATTCATTATCTTAGAAAAATGATACTATGACCTCTGAATACAATCTGCCTTCTTCTCCAACAGCTGTTCCCACTTAACGGTGGGTAGGACCCCAACCACTCTGAGCCTGAGTCCCCACAACTAAAATGGCTCTGTGGGTTGGTGTGGGGATTGACCATAATGAATATGACATTTATAACATTGGGTATGGAATTTCTGCAGTGATTTTCGTTTGACTCTGAAGTTTGGCAGCCACCTCCCATATCTGGCTGTGGAGCCATTGGAAAGTGGCTAAATAGAGCCAAGAAGCTGAATTTTTAATTTGGTTTCGTCTTAATTGATTTAGACTTAAATAGCTGCGCGTACCTAATGGTTGCCAGGTTGGAAAGCACGGTTAAATAATGTGCCTAGCATGGTGTCTGTGTACAGTAGGTGTGCACACTTGGTATGATGGTGGTTATTCTTGTTTATATTACCTTTGGAGCAGATTATCCTCCAACATGTCATTGTTTATGTTGTATATAAAGATCGCAGAACTAAAGGAGTCTGTAAACTGGGAATCTGGTGGTGGTGGTTGGGTGGACCTCTCTCTCTGTTCCTTGAGGCCCAAGGAGAAGGTCTCGGGCCAGATGGGAAGGGTGTCCAGACAAAGAGAGCCTGGTTTCCAGTTTGTACGTCTGGTCTTCCAGGAGCCATAGTAGAGTGAACTTTCTGTGTTCTGGTCCCCCAGTAACTGGAAAACAGCATCTTTTATGTGTCATAAATGTTCTGTTTTTGGATAAAGGTATAGATGATGAAGACTATGAAATATGTACATGGGTTTAGATTTTTAGGACATTACTTTTTCTAATAATGTTTTTATATATTTAGGTGTTCACTGGTATTCTTGGTCATCAGAGTTCTATGGTTAGGTTTATAAAGAGGTAGAATGGGAATGAATTTGTCAAACTCACAGCCAATTGCTTCTTCATAATATAAACATTTAGGACTGTATGTACATGGGAGAGGCATCGGCATGATGTGTGCATGATGGGTCTGTGTCACTTTTGGGACAGAGCAGGCTTACCAGAAAAGTCACCTCATGTTTTATCCTCCTGAACGTGGCTTGACATGACTTCTGTCACAATAAGACATTTGTTTTGTGGACGCAGAGTGTACTTCCTCCTTTTTTAACACACATTTATTTTTGGATGTATGCTGCACAGTTGCATCCCCATTGTCACTCCCCGTGAAAGCTGGATTCCTGGATGCTCTGGAAGAAGTTTAGCATAGATGCGGTGTCCTGTCACCCATCGGCTGTTTGTGCTCCACAGATCTGTCCGCAGGTCACTCCAAAATTAGTTCCTTTTCACATGAGTGTTGCTGGGGTACACATCCCATCACACAAGGTCAAGGAATGAAGAAGTACAGCACAGCCTCATGCTCAGAGAGCTCTGCCTTTGCTTCCCCACCATAGCTGGCTCCCTTAAGTATTAAACAGCAGTATTCTAATATCAACGTCCCTTTTTTATTTGCTGTGACTTGCTGTGACTACGGTGATTTTAGTTACAGTAATTAGGTCACCCTTCATGGAGTCAGGCTATTTTAAGTGCCTCTTTAAGGAATATTGTTGCAGATCAGTAATTTTACAATTGGATGTTCTTGTGCAACTTTATTAAATGTAATCTGTCTTTTAAATGTTGCCCTTTTACAGTTATACATTTCTAATTGTTGCTGTAAATGCATTATCACTTTGAAATTAATTAATTTTTCCATTTTGGCCGCCTGCAGTATAATAATCACTAATGAGAAACTCATACGGATTAATCTCAGCACAGCGACCCCTACTGGTAAAGCTGTGTCTTTGGCACCTCGTCGCCTTGAGGTCTGGAGGGTAGGACAGGTGTATGAAGAGTCTAGGGGGGAAGCGTTTGTCTCCTTTCCCTCCAACTGATGTAAAAATAAAAATAATTTATACAAGTGAGAATAGGATTTTTTAAAGTAATCTTTATGCCCATTGCGAGGCTTGAATCCACAACCCCAAGGTCAAGAGTCGCATGCTTGTTCTACTGAGCCAGCCAGGTACCCTGGGAATAGGATTAGTTTTAAATACTGTTTAAAAAATATGCAGGACTCCTTAGCTGCTTTTGAAACATCTTAAGGGGAACTAAAGTTTGATGGGAACTTTTTGATAATGAAGTCAAATCCATCATGGCTACATTATACATTATTTTCCTGTTTCCCTAGCTTTCCTCTATCCAATTAAAATATGCTAAAATTATATGTAATATGTGTATGTATGAATATATACCATTAGTGTATATCAAGTGTTTGTATGTTGGTATTTCTCCAAGTAACTTAGTTCACAAAACCAAGCCGATTGTATTATCTGGTGATAGAAGAGATTTCCAAGGGTACTTCTGGCTGTTGGCGATTGTTGCCACTTGGTGACTTTAGACTCCAGCATGCTTCTGGGCAGGATGTGACTGGGCAGCTTAGTCCAGACCCTGTGATGCGTTAGGCATCCAGTTGTGTGGCCTCATGCATTCCCCACAACGGTCGCACCCAGCGCTAGGATGATTACCCTCCCAGGGGGGTCCAGGAGCACAGAGAACGCACCCACCTTGCCCATGAGAAACGCATACCTGCCTGTAGAACCTTCCCCATCTCCTCCCAAGTGTGTTTGCCTTGCCCGATGCACCACAGCGCCCCCACCGTGTCATCTCCTCGTGCCGTTAATGTTTCCTTTACGAAACGCTTCAAAGTACCTTTATGAACCCTTCACCCTTGGCCTTTTACCCCCCCCCCCCACATAAACTTTCAGTTCTGGTAAACAGCATATTAGCTCGAGTTCCTAGGTCCAAGCCGGTCCTTTGCGGATCGGTATGTAAATTTGAAGCTGAGCCCTATCACGTGCCTCTGAGGGTGTTTTGTGTGACCAAATATTTATGTTGGCAGGTAACAGTAGAGAGAATATCATGTGTTAGGGTAGCAAGAGCTTAGCAGATGTTTTAGGGAGCTGCATTTTCAAATCATTTCACGTTAAAAAATGGCTCGAGTTTGTCGAACTTCTGGAATGATTGAGTTACGTTTCCTGTGGCCGTGTAGAGGCAGTCGTTGCGCTGAGTTTTAACAGATGTGCGGCCACCCCACTAATGGATGGACCTGCAACGCCAGTCCTGTTGCAGAGTTATAAATTATAACTAGAAAAAGCACAAGATGTCATTCTTCTAACCTTCGCGAAAGCCAAGCTGGGTAATTCTGCCCTTGAATAACCCGCTGCAGGGTGATTTATAGTTGTATAATTTAAAACATAATGAAGGAGATAATAGATGTTGATTTGTTCTTTAAATTAGTGTTTTAGAAAAATATTTCTCCCCCCATTCCCCTTAAATACCTGCAGCTGACTACACTGTAGATATTATCAAGGACAAAACCCCATTGGAATCTCTACCCATGCATTGGAGGAGAATGCAAGGGCCTTTTCCTGGGCTGGGAGGAGGAGATCGAGTTTTCTAAGTAGAAATGTCAGAATATTCCTCACTAATGTAAATGCTGGGGGCCTCCCGAGTGAGGGTTGAATTCTCTGGCTGCTTGGCCTCCGCCAGTCCAGATATGTTAGAAAACTACACTCCCACGACCCCGCCGTGGTTGGGCCGCACTTGACCTTTCCTGCAGAACCCCACAGAAGGACCTGGTGGCAGTGCTCTTTGCTGAGGTCACATCCCTGTGGTCTCACACATTCTGCTTACTTTCCAGGATTATCATTGGCATTGGTTTTATTAGTCACCTCTGATTCTGTCCAGAGCTTTAAAGTTAACAGTGTTTGCTCAATGTACACCCTGAGGGCTATGAGAGAGCGAAAAAGAGCAAAGGATTTAGAATCATTAGGCCTGTATTCAAAACTCAATGTTTCTACCTCTTTTAATGATATAATTTTGAAATGTGCATCCTCTGTGAGATTCATATTCTACATCAGTTTTCGTGTCTTGGTCTGTGAGTTATTAATACCCAATTAAAAATATTTGGAATATTAGAGGTTTGTTTTTCTCATCTATCCAGAAATCCAGGGGCTGCTGGGGGTATGTTTGGCTACTATATAGGCAACTTCTTTGTGATTGTCTTAGCTTTTCCTTCATGCTTATAACATGGCTGCAGTAGCACCAACCATTGCATCCTACGTGATGAGGTCTGGAGCAGG